GTCGCACTGAGGCTGGCGGCTTTTCATTGGTCAGCCGGCTGCACAAACGCACACATGCACACCTGTTCTTGGCCGATTTCGCGACTTCCGACATGGCGTCAAGTTCCGCCCCGGTGTGCTTCACGCCCCACTTCCCCGCCAAAATTGCCCCCACTTCGCTCGCCGATCCTTGCAGCACCTTGCACAGCAGCATGTACTGCACCGCGTAGAGAGGGCGGGGGGGAGGGAGGCATAATGAAATGGGAGAGAGCCATGGAACCTGCATGCGTGGCGAGAGCGACCACTAACGGCTGCACCGTGGTACAGTCCAGTAAGCACGGAATAGAGCAACACGATCGTCACGAGTTGGAACACACTACAAAAACAGAACAACACCCCATCGCTGCAGATGTGCTCGGCTCGAAGCAGTAGTCTACGCAGCAAAATTGATTAAGCATGAATAATCCGCGTATTTTCTGTCCCACATCGTGGATCCGACGTCCAAGGGTCTTGACTAGATAATTCGATGTCTGCAAACTCTGACTTCTCAATGACCGTTGACAAACGACGAACCTTGAGAGATCGCAGAGCCCGCGAGTCCTCCTGTGAGTCGAAGGCCTCGTACGACTCCAAGAAGTAGGAGAAGGACGTCTTGTAGTCGCCCTCCTCGCAGTGAAGTGTCCCCGACATGTCGTCTAGCTCCGCCTGTTTCAAAGTACCAGGTATGTACGCGGTTACAATGTATAGTTGCCGCACAAAAAATCAACGAAGGCAGAGGTAAGTAAACACGGGGCGAGACAATCCGACAAAACGCGAAGCTCCGGCCCAGCAGAGCTAGTGCTAGTGTGTGCACACACCAAGACACAGAGAGGTGTTTCCCGTGGAGAAAAAAAAAGTCTCCTCCTGAATCTTGCTCTGTCTCGATGTTCACAGTTGTTGCCAAACACGAATAAAAAAATTGTGGGGGCCACAGGATAATCAAGCAAAGAAGACGCTTTGCAGGCTGCCGCAGCATGACCACTAACACGTTTCGTTTTCAACAACCTAGTTGAGCGTTGACCACAGGCATGTTTTCAGACCCCGATAAAACAAACACATCATGCACGGGGGATTCCGGGCATCACAGACCGAAAAGGCCGCCGCCTCTTCAAAAAAGTCATAAACAAATGAAGCAGGAATTCCATAGCCCTCCAGTCAGGGACCTCCCCAGCGTGGGAGTTGCGGCTTCGCCCCGGAAGGCAAGACTAAAGGAAGCCTGCAACAATGCCCAGCGCTACAGCCGAGGCGGTCTGAACACAACGCACCAACCAAACCACACCTGCATGATCGGTGAGATGTAGATGGAGTTCCCCGCGGTTCTTGCGGCGGTAAGGGCCGCCTTGGCCTTGGGCGTGTTTCTCAGGGCGTTGTGCACCCTGGCCTCGACGAGGTGCGTCTCCACGAGGAGCTGCTTGTCGTCCATGCGCTTCAGCTCACGGAGGAGCTTGTTCAGCAGCGCCACCGCGTTCTGGTACTTGCCTTGCTCGAACAGCTGGATAAAAATCGTGGCATATTCCCGAAGACGAGACGTTGAGGCCGGAGCGGCACCTCCCGTGGTACGAGCTAGACGAGAAGCCTGGGGCTACGCTAAGAAGGCTGGATGGAGGCTATGAGGACACCAAACGACGCGGAAAACAGCACCGCACCGCTGTGGCGGTAACAAAATAGTCTTACACGGCCCGTCAATTGAGGAGAAAGAAGCGGACACTGGCGTTTGAATATCTTTCTTCTTCGGCCGATCGGAGTGTCCGTTCAAGCCATGCTGTCACGTTTCTCATCGTCCGAGGTTAAGAAAAGTGGCCCCACTCCCCCTTTTAGGCTTCCCCTTCTTTCCTTTCCCGAAGGAGTCATTCGTGGTCCTTCTAGAAGGATAAACTTTCGAGTGGCGCAACTTTTCTGGGAGTATCGTCAAAGTGTGGACGGAAGCACAGGCGTGCGATCGATGTTACAGCTCGATTGCTCCACAACCAACAAGCTGCCGATGCCGAGGTTTTGGAAAGACCTCGTCGATACCATTCCTTACACGTGTCGGTCGGTTTTCGCACCCTCCTCGTCGTGGAGCAATCGATGTCTAGAAACCTATCGCACGCATAGTCCGGTCGCCCGCAAGTTTTATGGTACTGCTTCTATCGCAGCTCATCTTAGGACTAGCCCCCGTGATGACGGGAGTTTGTGTCGTTTATTGCGCAATACGGAAGAAGAGGTACGAGAACACGGCCAGGATGCTGTTTGAATCGGAACACAGCGACAACAAAGCAACGCCGTTCCCGAAATAACTGGAGTCTGTATTTTCCGGCAATAAGCCATGCCCAGCGAAAGGCAACTAGAAAAAAGCTCGCACGGGAGGGACTTGGCTTGTGTTGATATCCCACCCTGTTGCTGCTGCAGCACTACTGTAGTACCACACTGGTGGAGCAATACACCCCGGACACAGCTTTTCTAAATCCAGACACGCCAACAAATCAGCCGTACAACCACAAGCTGCTTGCCACCATCAACAGAGGTTGTGTGTTCTGGCAAGCCTCTCTCGTTCCCGATCTCGTTGTCTTTATCTATTTCTCATCGTCCCCCCCACAACACCCATCTCTACATGTTTCGCGAACAACACCCCCACCCATTTTCTCGATGCCCGTCTCGTTCAATGCACGTCAATAGCTCGCGATATCGATCATTGTCTCTCACCAGACCAGCTTGTCGGCTCTGGATGCGTTGCCTCAAAAAGTTCCGCTTCTCCGTCTTGCACCACGCCACCACCTGGCGGCACAGGGCATCCTGCAGCTCCAAAGAGTCCGGGACCTTTGACACGATATCGATGATCGTGCGGACGATCTTGGCCGTTCGGGCCTTAGGGATCGTTCCGAAGAACGGCGACGCCGTCTTGAGGAGGTCCACCACATCCGAAAACCTATCATTTGTTGGAAACGTTCGGGGAAACGGTGAGGGTTACGCCATAACCCCGGTCCTCACTCGAAGGCCGTGACAAGGACGTTGACTTTGCGACGAGCAGACGCCACACTCTGCAGCAACAGTTGCTTTGTCCAAACATCCAAATAGGCAAGGGTGTGGGAATGCATGCGGCTGGTGATCGTGAAGGATGAAGTCGTTCTTCTTCGACGAGCATGGCGTCCGTCCGCCCGGAGAATAAGGGGTGCGTCATTTGTCGTTCCTTACCCGTACAAGCTTATGTGTAGCTTGGTTTAAGCTTGAATTGATTGTTGTCATGCGCCAAATGTATTCGCAGACTTACCAAATCTGCTTTGCATACACACCAAAGCAAAATCTCAGCTCTCGCGGAGTTTCCAGACGTTGGAACCCAACTCGCGTACAAGAGTCGAAAATTCTTTGAGGCAAGAGGTAACGCCGCAGGAGGTAGGGTCAATTTGCTTTGTCGCCACATGCCAACTACGACCGAGCGGACTCAGACAAAAAGGTCGGAGGACGGCGTGAGCGATTCCTTCGTGGGCATTAACTGCTTTCCCACACGAAATCTCCACGCCTCTGTTCGCAGCAGTGCCAAAAGTCACCGGTTCACATCTACAAGACTACAAGTAGAGGCATTGAAAATGTTGCCGTTCGACCTGATATGCACACAACATGAGCGATGTACCACCAATACGGGTTCCAGGAGAGGGGGCCTCGAGCAGCAACGCACCTCCTATGACATGTATATAATGTGACACGAACGAACAACACGGCATCTAGTCTAATGAGAACGCTGTGCTTGTGCACCCTTTGCGCAAGGCTGCTGGACAACTAGTTTACAGTACAAGGCAGGCATGCCAGGGCAATTAGGCAAAGTGTCTATTCGCCAGACTTTGAACAAAAGAGGAGAATGGACAACGTCTAGCAACACCAGCAGTAGCGATTCCACCCAACAAACGACCAAAGCACGCACCGCCTGGAATCCGCGTATGCCTTGGCCAGCCCGTAGATGGCCTCCTCCTTCACTTTCCCCACGCTCTCTGACGGCCCGGCCGCGTCTGTGCACACGTAGTCGAGCACCTCGCGGTAGCCCAGTATCGCCGCCGCCTGGTCTCCCGTTTCGCCGAGCGCGGCCGTGATCTCGTCGAGCTTCTTTCGCAGATCTCTCCCCTCGTCATACTCCTCGACGGCCTCCCCGTCCACGTCCATCCCGACGACCTCTGGTTGCCACATCTCGACCTATCTGCTGTGGCCTTCTCTCTCGGGAGTGCTACCTGTGGGCAAACTGGGAGACCTCAGGAGCAAAAACCTCTCCTGTGCAATGTTTTGGGGATTCCGGCTTCGCTACTCCACACACACTGCTGATGCAATCACTCCAGTGCTATCGAAGATGCTGATAGTGTGCTTGGCGCCTTGCTTGCAGTCTTGCAGTGGCCCTGTCGCGGGTGCGATCATCTCCGTTTTCGACAGTGTTCCTCAGATCTACAACATGCGGAGCCCCTCTCCCATTCACGGAACCCCTAACCGTGGGTCAACGCGTGTACCATCCGGTGTACACCATACCATCATCCTGCCACAAGCTGCACGGCGCTACTACCCCAAGCTATCGATAGGACGGGAGAGTTGGCACCAGCTCGCCGGAGATCTGTCACTGTTAAAGCAACGCCGTGGCTAGATTTGAGCTGTTTTCAAAAGTGAGCTGAATCAAGATTGGTGTGGCTGGATTTGGCGCGAGAGGGAGCGCCTCTGACATTCGAGCTACGAGGCATCAAAGCCGCGTATCACAACCACCATTATCTTGCGTCCAGTAGACAGTGCTGACGAACCTTGGTGATTAATCCTCATATGTATTGCTTCAGTCGTACAGGAGGCCAAACGGTTATGCTGTGATCTACGTTTTTGCGCACGCTTTCAACCCCCTCCTATGCATACCCCTTACTCTCAAAGTCTAACCTCCGCACCGCTCTCTTTTTCTCCCTCTCTCTCTGCCCTGCCTTTCTTGTTGCGACGGACGGCACCGCGTGCAACCAGTGTCTGTCACAGGCAATGCCGGCATCGGTATGCCCATCATCCTTCTGCACGACGCGGAAGGGGGTATCATTACCGTAGAGCTGAAGAACGGCGAGGTGTGCCGAGGAGTGCTGGACGAGGCGGAGGATAGCATGAACCTCGTGCTCAAGGTGCGCGTGTGTTTACCCCTGCTGCTGCTGCAGACTACAGCAGCAGCATCGTAAATAGACCACAATGAACAACCAACAGCTGGACCACGAGGCAAAGGGTAGTGCCTAGGAGCCAGACAAACGGTCGTTCGAAGGGTGGTGGATTGCACGCCTCGTTGTACAAGTGTGTTAGCTGACAAAGACCATCCTGAGCACCCCATGGCAGTTTTTCAAACGGCAGTTGCATCGCTCTTTCCAACCAGGCAGTCATATGGTGCAAGCATCTAGCGTAGGTCACAGCTCATATTTTGTTCAGTGATGGGAGTCGAAGCCGGGATGCCGCATCAACCCGCCGCAAGCGCTCAAGAAAAAATGTTGCTGCGCTTCCGGGTGGCCGGTTGATTTCTAGGGGGTCGGAACGAATTCCAAAATTGTATGCAGCATATATACTATTACCTCTCCTGGAGTACCATACCCACGCCAGTGCTGCGCTTAGCAAATCTTCCATGCCCGTGCTCCTTTGGTGGCCGTGCGATACGTGATGGATAAGAGGTTGGTTTATCAGGCGAGGCCTTCACACCAATTTAGAATTTAGTTGGTCGAAGCTCCTTCCACGCTTCGCATCAGCCACGATGCTCCACCCACCCACCCCCGGACCGTTCAGAGCTCCCACCTGGTGCCCTTGTTGCAAGCTACAGATCGGACATGCAGACCGAATGAGATGGACACAACATAATGAACGAACATATCAGCATACACGCTTGAAGGTAACATCACTTTAGTAACCTGCTGTATTCCGCTCCTACTCGTACCGCCACCGCCCACGCCTCCGCACCCAGGACTGTGTGAAGACCAACATCCGGGGGAAGACAAGCACCTTGCAACAGCTCTACATTCGCGGGAACCAGATTGTATTTTGTATCGTGCCAAACATGCTGCGGAATGCGCCCATGTTCGCGAGGATCAAGCAGGGGAGAAAGTACAAGGGGCACCCCCCCGTGCTGGCATCAGAGGGGGCCAAGGGACAGCGAGCCGCGATCATCCGCAAAGGTCATTCAAAGCAAAACGAACTGTTGGGAAAATTTGCAAGTCGTGTTTTCCTGACCCCCCCCCCCCCCCCCCTAATTTGCATTTGTGTCACACGATACTGAGGAATCCCAACCCGCGGCAGGGAGTACAGTACGTCTCTTTCAGTGGATGGACGTGCTTGAGTCTGTTGTCAGTAGTGTATGAGATTTTATCGCCACCGCAGCAGCTTCTCGCTCCCAAAAGGCGTGGTTCCTGCTGCCATGGTACTGTACCACGCTCTGGAGCGATAACGTCGGAAAAACTGGACCATTTTCTCGATCCAGCAACGCATGGCTTTCCCCTCCCGCCCTGTTGTGGTGGCCCTGACACCCAACATTTTTCTCACCCTCTCGTCTGAATAAAATCGCGCAAACCTTCCACAGCTGCTATGGGTGGCGGGAGAGGAGACGGAGGAGGGCGAGGATTTGGAGGGGGGGCGCCTTTCGGCGGAGGGCGGGATGGAGGGGGGCGCGGACGAGGATCTGGAGGTTACGGGGGGAGCAATGCCGGTGCATACGGTCCCGGTGGCAGCGGTGGCGGTGGAGGTTACGGGGGCGGTAGGGGGGCATCACCATTCCAGCGGTGATGTTTCTGTTGGGGTGAGCGGTGACGCGGGATAGGTGCCTTGCTTACCTTACCAGGGAACGGGACTTCTAAACTAGTCTTGTCTCGTGTTGGGACCGTACGTGTTGTATTGCGCCTCCGCGGCGTAGAATGGGTTTGAGGCGAATCGACCACTGGCTTGTACTCCCCGTGTCATGCTTGGCAGGCGTTTTCGTATTTGTTATTTTTGCCAACACGTTGCAGCCTAATTTGTACCAACAGCGGTGGTAGCCTGGCCGCGTTCTGTAGAGAGACGTATTTTTTCAGGTACATTTAAGTGTGCGGGCTAAGCGCGCTGCTCTGTCGTAGAAGACGGTTTTATCCCACAAATGATCGACGGGACAGGTTGATGCCGAGCTTGATCCTTTGAACCCGTTGTGACCAACCTTGGGAATCTCAGCGGTTGGCAGTTTGGCAATTTTATGTCGAAAAAAGTAGAGCTCTACGGACGTTATTGCTGCAAATTGTGTGTTTTGTGCATCAGCAAGCAGAAGAGCGTAAGGTTCTTTTGTGAAGACATGTTTTTTCCTCCAGAACATTACGTGTGCCATGTGTAATTGACTGCTTGCTGCTACTGCTACTACTGACGATTTCGGCGAGAACTTGAAAGCAGCGTAGACGCTCCATTCTCAAGCTCGCCATTCTTTGGCGTTGAATGAAAATGCGAACATGGTCGGACAACGTGACAGCCACGTTTGCTCGGGCAAGCGTTTAAGGTCCATGACTGCTTGGGGAGAGAACACGGAACACTGTGAATTCTTGTTGTTGGAAGCCAAGCTGGCAGATGCCTCCCGCTCATACAAGAGCCTCAAGATCCGAGACAAAAGAGCCTCGTCTCTGCTTGCCACCAGTTGCGGAAGCTTTGACACCCATTTCACCCCGTGCAGCGATCGACTTCACATGGCCCGTTCCCACCCGCCTTTATTGCTTTAACTATTAGTTGACTTTATTCGTGGTTCCCAGGTGATGGTCCATCTTGTTACAGGGTTTCAACTTCATTTGGCTTGTACAAACTCCGAAACGCGTGTCCGCGTGCGAAAAAGGTCTGCGGGATGTACTGACACTGACAGTACAGACTATCGTCAACTCCGCAACCCCCATCGCAACTTTCAGAGCAAACACGACCACAAAAAGCTTTTGTCAGGCACAACGCCACGAAAGCAACACGTCCAGCGACGAGCTTGACAAGGGTAACAATTGCGATGCAATGGACAACTCGAAATTAACAGTTCGCTCGTTGCAGAACACTACGTTGGCACCAACGGTGTTGAATGACGCCCATGCGTCTAGTCTACACCCAACCCACGAACCTATACATCCCAAACAAGACACCTCATCTATCTATACAGCTGTACACGAAAAACACAAAAAACTTCGAAGAGCCTCGTTGCTGCGTCACCCATACCACTGCCCATCTCAACAGCCCACGCCAGCACGATACCGACATCCAAATGTTCAAGTGATTTTTTGTTCTAAGATGAAGCAGGCAGGAACAAACAGCAGTCACGCAGCTCTGTACCGCAAACGCACAAAAACAACGTATGCGTACATAGCTCTCACTGCTACAATAGCGGCATTCACACGCCGGCATACTCTACAAGGTGTCACAAGAGGAAGTACATCAATACCATATCGCATAACTTATCCTTCGGCATCTACTCTTAGAACGAGCGAAACTCGGGAGGGAACTCATGGCCGAGGATATCGGACAACATGGAGTCTTGACTACCGTACTGGGGTCAGTTGCCCTGTCTCACGGACGGACGGACGGTGCATGTTGCCCACGCTTCCATCTCAGGTCAGGTCTACTCCAGAATCCACAACACGATGCCACCGACATGCACGTACAGCAAATGGCGAGCATACCTAAAAAATATTTCGAAACAGAACAAAAAGACTCTTGAGCAGACCCCGCCACAATTGACCGCCGTGGTTCAGATTGGTGGCTCCACAAGCAACAGCGGCTTAGTTGGCACTGCCAGTGTACGCCGATCCCCACCGACGCACGGGATGGCGTCGCTTTTCCTCGAGGTGGACAACCTGTGACAGACCCCACTTTCTACCTCTATGGTTTCACAATCCTTGGATACACTCTCCCTCTCTTGCGCGCATCAATACACTCGTACCGAGAAGCTCAAAGCGCGCGTGCGGCCTCCACGTATCCACCCACCCTCTGCATCTTGAGTCACTGCAGAGAGTCATTCGTCCATTTCGGAGGCGGCGGCGGCGGCGGAGGCCTCCGCGGTTCTTTGTTCGCTTAATCTTGGTGGTGTTGGCGGAATAAACGCAACACTCGGCTCGAGCGCCGGGATGGCCGCCTGATACTCCGGGCCAACGTTAATGTGAGCGTTCGCGTGCGGCGCCAGGTAACGCTTGTCTGTTGTACAAGAGCAACAACAACGTAAATTACAACACGAACGGACATTTTGTTAGTAGGAAGCATATCACCCAGTCTTGCAGCTGCTGATTTCTGCGTCATCTGGCAAAGGATCGCCGGGGTCGGAGCGCGAACAATGGAGGGCAAGCGGGGTAAGGAATTGTCTCCGGCGTTGGCAAGCTGTCGGAAACAATTGGTGAGAAACACACAAGGTTGAACAATTGGAGGTCTGTGTGTGAAGTGTGAAGCCGCATGCTCCCAACGCAACATGCATAGTAGAGCGAACATGACTCACATTGCTTTGCCCTGACCGGAGGCCTTTCCTCGGAAACATCCATTCCTTCCTTGACTGCCAGTTACCGTTGGTGAAATCCTTCGCACGCGCGTGGGAGAGCGAGAGGCCGTGAGAAGTGAGAGAGGTTGTGGAAGGGTGCGTTGCAGTGCGGCAAGTGGTGCGGTCTATTCGTAGATATCCATCAACGGAACCCCCAACTTCACACATACCCACACCCCAGTTCGTGGACCCCCCCCAGCCCACAATTGCCCGCAGGTGCCCACCGCGCCTCTGGGGTCGTAAGCCATAGTGTTAGTCTTGCTCGCTGCCAAACAACGCGACATACACTGCGCAATCATGAGGAAGCGAGGGGTGGACCTGCCTATGGCAAGCGGAGGAAGATCTCCAACCCCCCCACGGCGTCAGTTGAACATGCCGGATGCCACTCCAGCAAATGTTTTCTCCTTCACATGGGTGTTGTGCGGCTTTGCTTTGATTTGCATGGGTTACGGCCATTGCTCTCGGCACTCGGAGCAGTCGCGACTGTACTGCGCAGAGGATGTGTGCCGGTTCTCCAGAGACTCGACGGAAAACCGAAGGTGATAATCGCTGTCTTCTGCTTCCTGTGGGTGTGATTGTCGTTTTTGGGCAACCACAAGCAGTGAGGCCACCGACGTCCACAAAGCTGTATGTCTGCTGTTATCTGTTCCCGACGCCGCCCTGACCAGCTGTGTGTTTTGTTTCGTCCCACCGCCACCACACTTAGGGTATCGTTGCCTACATAGTATCCACGATTCCCTGCCCTCGTTTGTGTACAGAAACCACCCGTCCGCATGTAGACTCAGTGTATCCACGCTAGGATCACACGGCGAAAATGAGCGTTGAGGTATTAACATTAACTACTGTAGACCACTGCCATGTCGTACAAACCGATACATACCACGCGTATTCAAGCCTCTGATCCCGCTTGACAGAACGTTGGACCCCCCCGGTTGCAATAGCTCTCCACGGCAGTGTATCGCTCATCCGTGGTGAGATGAGATGTTGAGGGAGACACAGATCGAAGATCTATAGTAGTCTATAGGGAATTCTGGGCCTCTTGGAATGTCAGTCTTTCCGTGCGACGAACGAATCCCCAGTAGACTACACTGCTGTCGTACAACATATGTACATACATGCAGCTTCTCCGGGGTCCGGCCGCTCACTGCCCAGCACCACCGAACATCAACATCGATGAGAATGTAGCCGATTATGCATGTGTACAGCACAATCAAAGCTCGTATCATCGGAGGCAGCAACGGCCAGGGGTACTCATGGCGCAAGAACCATACGGAGTATTCTACACAGAAGCGGATACCGTCAGTTTAGATTGGCTCGGACGGAACAAAAGCCAATTTGACTAAATATCTTAAATCCAATTTTCTCGGTGAAGACACGCTGGGGAGTAGACTACAACAGAGTGTCGATCTCCTCTTCAGCGACCCAGGCAACGCCTGGCTAAAGCGGGTTTCCACATTACAGTGCGAGTATGCCATCGAGAAAATGCGTCCGCACACGTTGCGCGTACAATGTCAGAAGTAGCTCCAGTAAAGGGTTGTGACCGTTGTGATGCAGCTTCACAGGTTTGCGGTCCGCGATTTTAACCTGTAATTTCTTCGAGTTTGGTGAGCTACATTTACGCTCTAAGTACACAATGACGATTTTGGATGCATGCTGTTGTTGCTGTGGCGGTCAGAGTTTCGAGCGCTTCAAGCACGCCTTGTTACAGGCGAGACACGCACACACACGGCCTTAGGCCATCAAGTTCACTACGGCGAGATATGGCAACTTGAACAAACCTCCAATCACGATCGTGTTCTTACAGCAGTACCTCCCTCTCTTCTTTCTCCCGCATGCATGTCTTGACTCGACGCCGCCCTCTCAACGGAAAAATAAACAGTCGCATAGAGTTCCAATTTCTGCGAGAGAGCCTAGTGAAGGCGGAGGTTGCCCACCTGGACAAGAAGGGGGAGCTAGTGAGGGGAAAGCGGGCGAGTCGGCGGCAGAAGAGGGGGATGGCCCAGACGTACACCGTCACCTGGAAGGACGCCGAGACGCAGGACGAGACCACACTCCCCATCGCGAGCTACGGCCTCGGTCGAAAGGTGCGTGTGGTAGGGCTTTGCTTGCGGGGGGGGGGTTGGTGTGTGCGTTGACGTGCAACTGATGGAGAGGATGGCGAACAAGGAGCAGATTATGTTAAGCCCTGTTTTTAGCGTTGTTCAAGCAGGGTGAGACTACCCTTTCTCTGTGACGCGTAAGGGTCCCTGAAGCGGTGGTTAACCGTGCACCAGCGGAGGTATTTGCCTTGCTTGGAATGTGGCGAGGAAGTGCCAAGCGTAGCCGATAGTCTCGGCTTAGCTACAGCAGTAGTTCAAAGGTGGAAGGTGAGAGAGTGCGGAGCGTGGGGCGCTTTCGCCACCATCTCCCCATCTCCGAGATTCACATGGATAGTCACGGTATTCTGTGAATCTTTACTGACAAATGTCTTCGGACGGTCGAACATTGCTCATGTAGTCTCACGATAATTGCTGGTCGCATGTGCATCATTTCCTCTAGGAAGATACTTGTATCCTGGTTTCCACATTGCCCCCCTTTTTGTTCGCCGAAAATCCAGATCGATTGAAATAATTTTCGGCGCTCATTCCACTCGGAATGAGGCAATAGTACTAGTGGAATTGGGATATGTATTTCCTAGTAATATTCTGGTTTCCACAACGGTAGCCCAATCGATTCGTCGCAGAGGAAAATAATGGCATTCTGAAACTTGGGTCAACAACGAACGCCAGCAAGAGCGATGCCCTCACGCTGACCAACGAATTTACAGATGCGGTTTGTTTAGTTGGTCAAACGTCATGGGATACCATGGTGTAGAGGCATGCCTACAGAAAATAGGAAGGAAGGCTTGAGTGTGGGCGCGGTGTTCTGCACGTTTAGATGTTGTGGGTGTGGCACTGCCGTGAAACACGCGAATTCCCCGAATCACGCTCGTCAAAGCGAGATTGAAGCCATGAATAGGTGGACTCGTCGCGTGCGTATATAATAGATGATGACCCTCCCTACGGTAGCTGTGTGTATCACACGACATTTGCTGACCTTAGTCATGGTGGACGCCCCTGGGCCTGTTTGGTCGTATTATTTTGTTTTTTTGTCTACAGCGTACACTTCGTCGCCATTGCGAATAGTGATTCGTTCCCGCTGTTGATCTTGATGGTGACCAGGTGCCGCGCGCAAAGGTTGCCCGAATAATGCAGTACGTGCAGCGGCAGATCGACGACCTCGACGTGAAGGAGGGGCGCTGGTTCACTGGCATAGGCATCGTGTGTTTCGTTTTCGGGGGTGTTCTGATCCTGCTTAGGGTGGTTGTGGGGTCCATCTTTCCGCAACCCCCGTCAAGACGAGACTTATCTCGGAGACAGCTGTTCAAATAGGAGGCTGCAAGGTCGTCGGGATATTCGAGGCATGGTGATTTGTTTCTGCTATATGCGGCGCATGCAAGATGGTACGGTATTTGCTTGCTGCCGGTGGTGGCTACAAGTGTCTGTCTTGTCGGTTCGTCGTTGAGGAGGCATCCCTTTAGTGGAGAGGCACCACCGAGAACTTTTTTGGAACTGTGTGGGGATGATTATTTTGACATGTGCGTGTGGGATTGTACGTGTGGTTGTTGGTTGTGCGTGTTGTAGGCATTTGGGTGTGGGGAGGGGGTCCTTGTCGGTCTTGCTTTCAACTGTTTAAGCATGGCTGGGAAATGTTGTTCGGTCTGTGGTTTCGACAACCGGGATTGGCTGCACAACGTCCTGGTGAAAGTCCGCTAGTTGATCAGGACCGGTTTACAATATTGAGGGGATGACCCTTTCCCCTTTTGCAGATGGTCGTGGTTTCTCTTCTGGTGTTTTCTAGATCCTTTGTTGAACCTCCCAATCAGACAGATGGTGTCTGTTATTTTGCTTCGAGGGAGGGCGCATGAGGTGCGCTCATAAATTGAGCGAAACGCCTGGGCCAGTTGTAACAATATGAAAACTAGGGTAACCTGGTGATGCCTGAAAGAAAAGGCTCATCGGCATATGATATGCATGAGGTCTCTTCTGGTTGGTGAGAACATTGATGTTCGTGGGTATGATCTGAGCTATTTTGGGCAGCGCCAAAGGGTGGACGCCACTCCTGTTTGTTTGTGTGTTGCTTTTATTGGTGCTGTGTTTTACTACGCATCGTGGGGCTTTTTTGGCATTGAACATTGCCCGGGCGCCATGTGCTCGCCGCAATGAGGTTTATTTGACAGTGAGAGGTAGAATAGTGGTGGTGTTATGTACCAATTGATCTACGGCCGTGTAGCCCTCGAGTCGTGGTAGTTGCACCATGAATCGTATCTGTAATTGTATGCGGTAACATAAACGGTTTTCTATCTAATGCGTTTAGTAGATTTAATGAATGGAGGCACTTTTTTTTAACGGACATGAATACGGTGAACCACTTTTAACCAAAACCCAAACCGTCCGGGATGTAGACTATCCCCTTTCGAAACCAGTGGATGTCACCAGCAATCCCCCGAAATCGAAATGTGCAAGCCTACAGTACGTCAACGTCTAACCTCGGGTGTACTATACAAAGGAAGTTGAAGCACCGTCTAAAAAGCTGTGAATATTCCACTCCTGACATGTGCTGAAAACATGTGGGGGGGGGGTAAGCATTTCTATCCACATACCTACAAAGTAGGGAGCGGATGTGTCTACGTGTAACACTGGCCATCGCGGTGAGATGGCGATGGCGCTAGATCGTTCAAGACGTTGCCGATGAAATCCTCAGCAACTATTCGCACCGACTCCTTCCTGGAGCCCTGCCCATCCCCGCTGTTCTCCTGATTTCTGAGTGCACCTTCAAGCAAGGCTGCTGTAGCATGCGAGTCTGCTGGCAGACTTATTTCGTCGTCCTGGCCGATTGCTGATGTTGTACCTCTCCAACTAGTTGGCCCTCTGCTGTCGTCCGCTTCTCCGAGCGTGTTCCGGACGTTTCTTCTACTACATGCATGTGACAACATATGCTCGCCGTCGCTTAGGCCGTCACCGCTAGCACGTTTCGTGCCTTCTCGTTTCTCTGGTGACGCGAGGGAGCCCTTGGCATTCGGCTCCCGCCCCTTCTCTCTGCGTATGCCACTTCGTGACGGGGATCTCCCCGCGAACGGTCGCACTCCGAGCGGCCGTGTTTCTGTTGGCGGCGAAGCTATTAGACGGGGCCTGCCTCGCAGTTCCTCCTCGCTCTCGTCCTCCTCGCGACTCGAAAATCTCCTGGAGCCGTGCTGCGTATGTCTGCCACTGCCTCCTGTTTCCTTGCTTTTGCTTCGAGACGACGACCCCTGACATGTGAGCGCGCAGTAGACTAATGTGAAAAATTAATTACGAGGTACTAGAATATACCCGTCTGTGTTGTTCTCGATTGCAGCACATTCCCTTTCCGGCACACGTCGCAGAACCATCACCGCGAATACCCGACACATTACCACCCTTTGGGAATGCTGTCTTGGAACTTTGTGTTGTATGTTTTCGAATAAAGTCTAGAAGAAGAAGTGTTATTGTGCACAGCAATTGGGTCCAAAGGGGTGACCAGCAAGTGTGGTCTACACCGCTGGTCGCACAGATACCACACCCCCTGGACCGATTTTCAAAGCCCGCCTACTCCAAGACGAGGACGATACCAGAGTTAAACGATACGTTTTCGGGATTCTCTCAACGGGACGGCTCCACCGTCACCATGTTCGGCACCGTCTCTATGCATCGACTGTGTGTGATGCAGGGTTATCGAGCTGTGGAAATCGGTATAGACAAAACTCTGTCTTCACAAAAAAACTGAACGCTTGCACCGCTCCTACGCTTGCACCGCTCCTACACTTCACCTGTGGTGATGATAAGAGGCGGTCTTGTTCCAAGGCTTGGGTTAGCTTTCGGCGTGACGATGAAACACGGTCACCGCGTGCGCCGAGCATGGAGTACACCTCACAAACGAAACCATTCAAAATTGAGAAGCTCGGACTCTTCTCTCTCCAAACAGCGGTAGTTAGCCGATGACTACAACCATCACAGCCGCAACACCTGCAACATACACACAAATTCACCGAAGATACGGTGCATTCTAAGCGTATGCGTGGTCTGTGGTGTCAGGCTAGTCAAGGTACCAGGTAGAAAGTGGAGCGTAGGGCAGCGGTCATGCGTCATGCGTCATGCGTCATGCGCCATCATGGTGTCCTCGTCATGAAAATTCCGCCGAAACGGCACGTTTTACCCCGCATCATGGGTACCCAGCCGGTTTATACTCACTGCAAAGACTCCAACACGTCCCGTTCGACTGTGGCTATATCTCGAACGGGTAGTCGTCTGTGTTTGTTATTAATTTTCCTAAGATTTTGGTGCCTTCGTGCCATGTTGGTGGTAAAGTGAATGGGAGAATGGGATAGAGAACCACGCACAGAAAATTCGGCGGTCTTGCGCAATTTCTGGAATTTAAGAAAAAGAGCGAACGACGCCTGCTGATTGGATGGTGCAGACAGTTCCATCCCTGGGTGCAAGTGCAAAGCTGCCTTCCCACTTGAGCCGTCTCTTGTCTATAATCCCTATCAATTGTCCCCTCGATGCGAGGGGACACGAGGGGACATTTGATAGGGATTATAGACAGCAACTGGCGGGAGCGTGGTAAACGGGGCACGAAAAGGAGGTTTTCAAGATATTTATCTAGAGGGAAAGCGAGACCTTCTAACTCGAGCCCTGGGTTGCTTGGTGCCTCCTATCAACGGTGGTCTAGGTACTTCTTCCGCGCTTGCCCCTAGTAGCGCTATCCACCCAAGGGTAAACAGACGCGGCGCAACTTCGCTGATGAACCGGCGGCGTAATCGCCCCGCGATTCGACCTGTTCAATACCCTCATACTCCTCCACTCTACAAAGCATCCATACTAGACTAGAGTCGTCCCTGTGTACCCTGGCACCCCCCTGGTCGAGTAGTGCAAAGGAGGAGACAATCATGCCAATCTTCGCGAGGTAAAGCAGGTGAAGAAGATGGGGACAAAAAGTGTCCCCAAAAGGCGATCCAGCCCTAAAGACTCTTCATGTTATCCCTCCGAACGGGTTGATATCTCGAATGTTTAGTCTATACAGTGGGTTCTTCGTCTGTTTAGTCTGTGTATGTATTTATTATTCCTTAGTTCTTCGTCTGTTTAGTCTAGTCTAGTTGCTAACCCGCTGGTGCTTGTATATACTGTGCGGGATTGGAAGCAAGGCGGGTGCAAGGAGTTGTGTCCTGTAACAGAGGGTTGGGTGAGAACACGAAATGTAGACAGTGTTCGCTGACTTCCACCGCCCCCTTTTTGTCGGCGGGATGCATGGGACGACAACACAAGGAGCATGCATATGCTATTAGGGGGTGTGCGGCGTCCACATGAAAAAGCTAAGCGGGGAGATTTTTTCTGTGTATTTCTCCTACAGAATCAAAGCAATACCATCCCTCACCAAAGATAGGAATCTAGACACGGCTTGGATCACCGGTATGGGAGATTGGTGACCGAACGGCATCCGAACGCAAACGGCTGGCCATGATAAGGACCCAACATTGACGCCTGTGCCTTCCATGGAAATCGGTCATCTTCACGCACGTGAAGCAACAGATACGTGGACCCCTCGCAGGCAGGATGCGCCAATAATCGCCCAGAGACATCGGACGCAAGCAAAATCCGTTCGTTGTGAGGAAACGCGGCAAGAAAAACATGTGTCCCTTGCCTAGCGAATCGCACGTACTTTGCCATACGTCACCGCGAAACCAACCAGTGACTCACACCAAATTGCATCGCATTGCCAGCCATATCTGTAAAATGCCAAACTAACTACCGGTGCCTATGCAGCCTCGAAGAACGAGAAATATACAATATGTTGCAAGGACCTCTTTCACCCTACGCCACAATTTTGTAAAGCATGCCCATGCTATGTAGACCTGATGAACATGGATAGGTTCCCATACGGCGATACTGCCGTACGACGAATGAAGTGATTGGCATGAGGCCCCCCAAAAAATGTTGACGTCGTATCTAGCGCTTCCCTGCCCTACAACACGCGGCTGTCATATGTCACACGATAGCCGCGGGGAATGCTACATAACGCGACGAAACCAGTCCAAATCCACACAGAATTTGTTTCGAACTGGGAACATCGCCGACGGTCGTTACCCTACTTATCCCCCTTCATGTACTTCTTGATGATGTTCAACTCGTTGTCCACGCGGTGCTTGCTGCCGCTCGATTTGCTCCCGCCGCCCCCCTTCCGCCCGCTCAGTTCGGACCTCTTCACCCCGAAAGGGAAGGAGGCCTTTGGCTTGTCGTACGCGGGGTGCTTGTCATGGTTGCCATCCCCGCCGCGCCTGCCACTTGCGCCAGCCCCGCCGCCGCTCCCCTCGGGTCCAGGCTTGGCGTCTTTCTTGTTGGTAGCATCCTGCGAGCGCAGTTGGTGGTGGTCGGTTTGTCAAAAAAAAAAACTCTCGATCACCAACCGATCACCGCCTCCACATTCTACGACTGCATGCGAGTTATCCTCTATATGTACGATGACGATGAACATTGTTTATCCTGTAGAGAGCCTAGCTCAACGCGATCGTTATCCTCGCAATCTAGTGCAACCCAGTACATCGCGAAGTAGTCTCTCTTTCGTGCGGAAGCGCTATGCGACTGACATCGTTGAAAACACAGCTCTGGGACAAGCATATTTTTCGTTCTCCCTCTGTCTTTCTGTCTTTCTGTGTGTGTGTGTGTGTCTCTCTCTCTCTCTCTCTCTCTCTCTCTCTCTCTCTCTCTCTCTCTCTCTCTCTCTCTCTCTTTCTCTCTCTCTCTCTCTCTCTCTCTCTCGTTCGTCCACGTCAAGCTCACCTCGTCGCTATCGTACGTCTCGAAGTCCCCGGTTTCCGGGTACACGTCGTAACCGCCCGCCGAGACGCCGAGGGCCTGCCCGCGGCTCGGCCTCGCCGCGAAGATATCGCGCTCGATCTTGTCCCTTCCGCCGGACTTGCCCGTCTCTCTTGCACCTGCCCCCGACGAGGCCTTCTTGTCGCCGGACACCCTCGCGGCGGCGGCGCGTGCGGCCGCCTTGACGGTGGCGCTCATCTCCGCTCTCGTCGGCAAGACGTCGGCCTTGTTGTCGGCGCTGTCCCCCGCGTTCTTAGCCCGCAGCCCCGAGAAGTACCCCTTCGCCGCTCCTGCCGCTCCCACGGGCGGTTGAGAAGCAGACCCGGCAGATCCGGGCGGGACGTACCTGCGTGTGGTTTTGTACCATGGTGATGTTGGGGAAAACCATGGAAAATGTTGGGAAGACGTCGGTTGGGGTTTGTCGTGGACCGGGTGGGGGTAAGAAAGGAAGGAAAGAAAGGGAGCAAGGGACACGCGAATGTTAGATGGGATCCAGATAAACAAACGGGTGCTTGATGGAAAACCACCGAAACACGATTGTGTAACTGACCGCCATCCTTAACATCACCTGCATTTCTTCCGACACACCAAAGGCACAGACGAGCACAACCGACTACGAATGAATCAATCGTTCGATCAATCAATCAAGCCATGAAACCACAAAATCGACCTAATCGTATCCGCTCACCGGTCGTCAATATCCTCAAAGATGTTGATGGAAACCTTGGCTCGCCGTGCGGGCGGTAGCACCGCGGCATCGCGGTCCTCTGTGTCTCCCGCCCCCCCGTCTCCTCCGCCCGTCTTGGCAAGCGCCGCGACGATCGCGTCTTCCTCCTTGCCACCAACACCGCCAGCCTTGTCGCGGGCGCGCTTGCGCTGGCGTCGAGCCTTGCCACCATGCTGCCGGAACAGAGTGAAGGCCGACTCCACGCGTTCGAGGAGGTCCTCCTTTGAAGCGCGCATTTTTTGTGGTGGTTTTCACGATCAGTGAGTCGACGCACGGAGCGACAAGTGAAACACATGCGGGAAACAGGTAAGCGTACGGAAGCGCCATGTGCAAAACAACAAGACTTGAACGGCGATAGAGTTGGGGGGGGGGCGGCGGCCAGAACGTTGCATCTGTCGGCACGTGCGGGTCTTGGCTGCTGTGCTCTGGGTGCAGAAGCTGCTGGGCGAGAAGTTGTCCACGATGCTTTGAAGCAACCACAGATTTGTCCTGAAGGGGTTTTGCTTAGGCTTGCGGAACGGTGCTTATACGCCCAACTGTTCAAAATATGCTTCGTGCAACAATTCGTACGAACGAAGCCATCACCTGGCAAGAAACACAACCACAACCCAAAAAATGGTACGCAGGGAGCGCATGATATATATGTAGTGAAAAGAGAAATACCTCCACACATCAGGGTATCATCGTGCATCGCCACCACGCCTACTTTACCTCCATGAGGTAGTTAGTGTGCCGTTCCCGGTCCTCTTCCTCCTCCTCCTCCTCCCCGTCATCCCCCAGACTGTGCGCCACTGCTGTCGGGATTTCCTGGGTGCTCTCGGGATCCAGCTCGAACTCATAACCGACGCGCCTGAAGTCGGGTCCTCCGCCCCCCTAACGGCAAATAACACACACATACACACGATGTGGGCGAATATAGTTCAAGCGCCGACAACAACCCCCCCCACCCACAAAACCAGCGGCAATACGCGCCCCATCAGCCCGCCATTGTAACGCCAGCAAGACAATATCAACTATTCGACAGCGAAACGACGAGAGAGCAGTCGTGCTGTGCCTACGTGTCATATCGTGGGTATTCGATCCTATCCGATCCCGTCTAGGGTACCGGCTAACCCGAAAACACAGGCGTCGGTTGACGGGTAAGGGGGTGGCGGGGTTGGAACAACAAATAAAAAACATTAATCGCAAGAAGAATAGCTTGAACCAGCCCCCAACCTCCTCAAACCCTACTCCATTTTTGGTTACCTGGCCAAGGCTGAGCTTCCTCAGTACAGCGAGTACCGTCTTGCCCATGAGTGTTCGGGCGCGAACCTCCGCCCGCCCTCCCCTCCGGTCTCCGTTTCGATCGTCACCGCCATCTCCTTCCAGTATCTTTCGCCATCGTGTTTTTCGGTTTTCAATTTCGACGGAATTCGGAGAAAGAAAATGAGGCGACGAACAAAACCTGCAGCACACTCTCCGCGTGAGAGTTGGCACAAACAGTTGCTTGGCTCTGCCTCTCGGCAGCAATTGTCTAGAGAGTGTCGATGTGGTGGGATACGCGGCACAGGACGGAAAGTTACACCGGAAGCTTCTTCGCTAACGACCTGGACGGGCGACTTTGTTGACTGACCCATCATCGCTACTGCCCACAAACGCAAACATTATCCAAAGTGCCCTCATCAAGGTGCACAAGAACATACAAAGGTACAACAATAGCTTACAACTGAGCAGGCTGGCGCCGCATTGTCGTCGGTTAGACATTGACTGCCGCCAACGGTTCGAGAAACACAAACACACACGCACGAAAACACTAGAAGAGCCGGTTAGCGCGATGCCAATACTAAAACCACACACATAGCCGACACACCTCTATCTGCTGCTGGCGTTCCTCCTCCCTGATCTTGACGAGCAGGGCGTAGTCCAGCCCTTTCACCAAGTGAGTGTGCTCCACGTCACCACCGAGGTACTTGGTGGTCTCGGCGTCCATGGAGGCCATCTGGTTCAGCTTGTCGG